GTTAGTCGGACATAAAAATCGAAAGATTCAACAAAGGTACGTTTGACATGAGTACCCAAAAACGCAGCTTTTTTTCTTCTTTTTTTTGCCAATAGAGGGGGAAGAGAGAAAGAGAGAAGCTGAAAAAATCAACATCCATCAGTTTACAGATCACAATTCGCGATGAATTGCGGATAGGGTCTTTGAGCACTCCAATCAAAGTTCCTACGTAGGTCTTCTGGGATAACGCGGTGGCTTACGCGGTAAAAAATTGAAGCTCTCTGACGCTTTTGCATTAGCCTACCTAAATAAGAATAGCTCCCATTCACGTTTAAACGCACATTTCACAAATAACTGTGATTATGCTCCGAGTAAGCTATCATTTTCCATCAAGCGCCTTTTATGTTGCCTGCAATCGGGAAACCGAAGCATTTAGACCGACTCTATAGAGCTTGCTCCCCCTCTACCTACCCGACTGTCGCTATCGTCATCTGCTATCGCTATTTTTCTATTTGAATCAGTGAGTTCGAAAACACACCAACTCGGATTTTTTTTTATTTTCACTTTTTTACGGTTTAGTAACACCTATGGATCATCACGCAGGCAAAAGGAAATTTCGAAATTGCAATCGGAAGTGCTCGAAACAGCGACGGGAAAAGGGAAAAATCGAAGTATTTCATCGGAGATACCAATTTTTGGCCATTTCAAGGGAAACTGGTGACCATCCGATTTTGCGGTTTTCTTTTTTTGGTTCAGTATACCTTGTACCAACAAGTTATATAAATATTCAAGCGTTATTTAGGTCGAAAAATATAAATTTTTCTGGGCAGACTGAAAAATCAGTATTTGAAAGTCGGTGAGAACGAAAACGCACCAACTCGGAAATTTTTAAACGCTTTATTCTCTGTCATCAAACATGGTGTATCGATTTAAACTTGGTGCTTTACAAAGTCTCTAAGTACTTGTCCTTTGGCACCAAAAAGGTTTTTCTTAAACTAACTTCTTCGCCCGCTGCGCAGTTTTAGGTGTTTCCTGAACAATTTTTTTTTCCAAGTCGGTGTGTTTTCGAACTCACTGATTCATTTAAAGTCATGGTAAAGAATCGATTATCCAATTGTTCGTTGCAAACATCCTGATAATCGATTATTTTTTATAGGTTTGAATGGCGGATCAGCCGATTCATCGCAAAGCACGCGACGCGTCATTGAGGGCTTCTCGAAAAAATGGCTAAGACTGAGCTAAAATCCGATCCCTGTATTATACTAATTCGATCTGAAACCACCTTTGTGCATCTGCAACATTCCACGTTTGATATTTTTTACCTGTTACAGTTTTACGACAAAATATTTCAACAGAAATATCGAAATGAAAAAGTATGTATACAGTAAACGATTTTAAAAAGTTTTTCACGTGAAGGACGGAGACAATATTTCATTGTGTTCCCATTATTTTCTTTGTACTTGGTTATAGGACATTTCGTCAACGATTTTTTGTCCGAGCACCTGTTTTTTCCAGTAATTTACGTCCACGCGTTTTTCGGCACGGGAGTTTTGGTCCACGTGCCAGTTGAGACCCAAAGTTAATTGGCCCACATGTACATACAAACGACAATTGCTCACGGCGTTTTTGGATAAAAATATATAATATCTTGGGAGAATGAGGATTTGCTTGTTTTTTTGTTTTGTCTGTTTGGTCCAACCGAGAATAATATATAGCTGCGTTGCTAAAGTCGCCGGAGAGCTCTCCGGAGTTACCCGGAGACGTAAACAACCGTTGTTCTGACTCCGGAGGAATTACCCGGAGACTTGCTACGTCATGCTACGTCAGTCTCCAAACTGCTCTCCAGCTCTCCGACCTCGAGAGGTCGGAGTGATACGTAGACTGACGTAATCATAGGCGTTTAGCATTCTCGCGCCTTTTTTTCTGCTTATGCAATGAGTTTTAGAATTTTCAAATATTTAAAGATGAAAGTGTTTGTGGATTTCATTTTTAACTTTGGGAATATAAAAACTTAACCTAAAATTGAAGTGTAAACAAATTAGAATCCGGCGGACCCAAGAACGCGGAGAGACTGGAGAGATGACGTCAACCCTCCGGGTAATTCTCCGAGACTCTACGCTCCCAGTCCTCCGGAGAGCTCTCCGGCGACTTTAGCAACGCAGCTTATAGTTGAGAGTTTTGGTATAAAAATGGGGGAGCGTCAATTCCATGAGACAAAATTCACTAAAACTCTCTACGCCTCTATGGTGTAACAGGACTTAATTATCTTTCAAGAAATTCCCACCTTGTTATACCTGAACCGGATAAACCTCTATATATCTGCCTCAGCTAAAGGCTCTTGGATTTTTCCTGTGTACGATAAGTATCTTGATTTATTTTGCGAGGAAAGATCTGTACTTTTAGAGGATGCCTGTCATTCTTAATACGTTCAATTTCGTATAATACTGTGCAACACCTCTGTTGTGAAATAGTTGCTTCAGGCGCCGCCGCACGGCGGGCGGCCTGCGCGAGACGCGCATTGGCGCCTACAAACCTAAGTGGATACTTCAAGAATTGTGCAATGCGTGAAGTATCCACTTAGGTTTGTAGGCGCCAGTGAGCCTCTCGTGCTGACAGCACGCCGCTCCGCTCTGTTCGGCTTTAATATTTATACTCGCATAGTCAGCGTTTTTTAACTAATGATTTTAAAATGTTAGCACACTCTACATTGATTAATCTCATTTAAATTGATGAGAAAAAAATAAGTATCAATTTATCAAAGGAGAATAATAATCTAATGTGTTTTTTTTAAAAATATTGGTGGTTCCCGTGTCAAATTTGATAATTTCCAAAGCACTTTAATTTTTTCTTTTACATTTTGTGCTTTTATTGTGCTGCAGCGAGGTGTACGCGCAATGAAACGCTCAAAATTTGACGTATTTGACTCTAAAAGATCGATGTACAAATGGGTTAAAACTAAAGATTGCGTGCTTCTTGGTTTTTTTCCCTTTTTTATTCATTTTTGCAGTTTCTGTCGGCACAACTGCGGCTTATTGAGATTAATGTCGCTTGGAAAAGGTTTTACAAATATTTGTCACGTTTTAAAAATATAAATGTTTTCAAAATGAAGTAATAATTTCGTAAAGAAAAAATAAAAAAAATAAAAAAAGTACCAATACATATAAGGTATATTGTACATTCAATATTTTAAGGATAGAAATAAAACCAAATATTCACCAATGACAATTTATAAAGATGATTCAAAAGGAGAAAGTAATAACAACCATAACAACATCTCCTCCTCTCTCAATTTCTCATTTCCATATTGTAAATATAATTTTACATACCGACTAAAATATAACGCTTGGACTAAGTCACTGTTGCTTATTTTACGTGTGGGCATAAACTACTGGACAAAAAAGGTGCGCGGACAAAAAAGCGTTGACAAAATGTCGTGAAACCTTGTACTTTCATCCTCTATAAAAAAACATAAAACTTAAATAGGCGAGGTAGCAGTTTTACTCAATTTTATTGCTGAAGAAGGGAAAACTGATTTTTTATTTAGAAGATCCAGTGCTATACTTTAACAGGCTCTTATGACTCATGAAAATGTATTCTTCGTAATTATAAAATTTTAGATAGGTAGTCATTTTTGAACGTTCGTCGCTCTGGAGATAATTTCTGATGAAATTTGCGACAATCATCATTTCAAAAATTTTCATCTAAGATGGGTATTTAAGTAATTAAAATATGTGCATGCAGGAAGTATTCAAAATTTCATCTAGAACCTCTGCATTTAGCGACAATTCAAAGTGGCATTGTATTGATAATTAATTCATTCCCACGCCATAAATACTCCTTTGCTATTCAGTTTTCCCCGCAAGGACGGCTTTGGATAAAGTGCACAAAATTAAGAGGAAAGATGTTATATCTAAACATGATCACGTGATCTTACAAACTTTAAAACAACGTAAGTCCACCGAAAAAGGATTCTACGCGTAATGAAATTTTGTAACAATTACACTTTAACTAACCGAGATGTGGTGAATATTATCCCCTAAACTCTCAGGTGCAATCCAGATGTTTACTGCGGAACTAACCAACTGTTTGATCTATTTTCTTTTGAAAACTACGCTCGTAATGATGTAGTTTACTGTCTGCCATTATAATTTACGACATTCACAGATGGGAGGTCATAAATAAGAGGAAAAAATCGTGTTAACTTGTGGATTGCTGCCGTCGCAATAACATGCATAGAGTTATTCAAGATTGCTCATACTCTTACAAGCAAACTTAATAAAAGTGTGAGCATGCTACTAAGTTCAGGAAACTTTTCTCATAAAACAGTAAACCACGCAAAAAGTCTTACATAAAAGTATCAGCAGTCGAGCTTGAGAATTCTTCCGATACTTCGCTTTACTTAAAATCGATTAGGAGTGAACCAAAGAAATGAAATAAATATTAGCCTGGCTATCTAAGAAATCATCTCGATTTATCCACTACGAGCAACGGGAGAAATTAGCATTTTTCGGAAAATATCAACGAAGAAAAACTCGAAAATATATAACGATTTGCAAAGTTTGCAGAATTTCTGTCAATTTAATTTCATCGAAGTATAGCGGACGACGGGGCGATAGCTAAATTGCATTTCAAAGTTGCGCAGTTTTATAGAAACATATTCATTCATAAACTCAAGGCCTAATTGAGAGAATCATCTTTCGAAATTCATCGTGAATTTCCTTCTTGATATGACGAATATTTCCTAAAATTTTCGATTTAAGATAAAATCCGTCAATGAATAAAGAAGAGATCCTTCAGGTGAAATTTTGAGGCAATATGTATTCGAGCACCTCGAATCATCCTCATCGATCAGCGTATCTGCAAAAATTGTTTGATTCATTTTTTAACATTTACTATACCATTCTCAGAGAATTTTTCATAGTATTTTCTGTCAAGATTTGCAGGAAAAAAAACGTTAAAATTTGTCCCCCACTGATTACCAAGTAGGATAAATTTTCAAAGTTGAATGCATTTTTTTTCAGACCATGGATGTTGAGCACAACATCAATGGAGTATCGTTGGCAGTTTACGCTTTCACATCATTCTTGCTTGTGCTTTTCGCCATCACACTCATCTATGTGGCATGTGCCAAGCGGTACAGACTCAACTGGTTCGAGAAGAATCTCCTGGAAACGGCGGACACGGCTGAAATGAATGTCAGGTAAGAATTCCTCTTCCTGTGAATATTAGGATTTACTAGGGGGCTATGCCCCCTGGCCGCTACGCGGCCCAATCTTCAGAGGGCGCTTCGCCCTCTCTTAGGCCCTCTTCGACAAAAGAACGACAAAAAAAAAAAAAATGAAAAGATTTTCATACCCGACTCTCATTTGTCCAATCTCCCTCTGGCCGGGAGTGATTGGACCAATGAGAATCAAATAAGAAAATCGTCATTTATTTCCAACTTAAGGCCAACACTAAAATGAAACGAAACGAACAGAACGGAGCATTTAATTACTTTTGGGAAGTCTGTAGTAAAGGATCATACCTTTAAATCACTTATCTTATCCTATACTAACAGACCAAGTAGACCAGCTTAGTTCAATTTTTGCCCCTTGTCTAAGCTCCCAGGTTATACTCTATTATAAAAAAAATCTGGGTCATATTTCCAAAATCTGATTACAGCGGCCTCATTTAGGGACTACCACCTGTCGATAACCGCAAAAATTATGGAAATCGGTCCAGTAGAACGCTCAAACGAACTATGACAAAAAATAAAAATTTATATTGTTTAAATGGGAGAATTCGCAACTTCACCGCGTAACCTAAAAAAACTTGGGTCATATTTCCAAAATCTGAATAGAACGGGCTCATCTAGAGACAATTGCCCGTCGATAGCCGCAAAAATCATGAAAATCGGCCCGGTAGAACGCTGGAACTAAGCGTTACCAGTTATGCAAATTTAGGAGGCCTCGGAGCTTACATATATGATGCTAGAGGTGACTTAAGCTAGCTAAGTTGGCACTTGTTTACATTCCGCTTGCAAGCCACCGCGATGCAGTCGTCCAATAGCGATCGAGGATTGACTGCGGCCCGATCGTGAGCATACTCAATCCTCAGTCCCTATTGGACGACTGTATCGTGGTCGCTCGCAAACGGAATGTAAACAAATGCGAACTTGGCTGACTACACCTCTGAAAGGAGCTATGTTGCAGTGTTGACCCAATGACCCAGTATGAACTCAATGCACATTGTTCCTTCTAGCATGCAATGGGACGCAGCAGAACATTTGCCGTAAAGTGAGAGAAATACAATTGAAGGAGGGGCGAACTCCGTACTATTAGGTCAAAGACTTACAAATTCCAAAAATTGACCCTTTCGTGAAAGTTCAAAGTTTGAGGGGAAAAAACCGTGCATTGGAGCAAACTGCTATTATTAAGCTTGCCGATTTGGTCAAGCCAGTTCTGGCAACGATTCACTTCAAAGGCCAATGACCAGTAGCGTGGCGTGCTTTGAAATACATCGATTGATTTGTCATTTAATCCTATGGAAAAGGATCGATAAACAGGGTGTTCGCAACGAACGCCTTAATAATCGATTCTTTACCAGAGCTTCAAATGGAGAAATATCGATAATCGAACATTCACGCCTCGTCACTGCCAACGACGTCATGAATTATGACAATTATGGCTTGAAACTTTGTCCTGGTGGTCTTGAGATTAAAGGAAAGTGTTGAACATGATCAATTGGACTTCATTGTCCAATTGGGAACTACAACCTCTGCCTGATCCATCAAAGCACATATCTGCAAGCGTAAATTGATGACTTGTATGTTGTTTTGATAATGAGTCAGAAATAGTTGGTTCTTATTGCAAAATGTAGTTCGATTGAAAATCAGTATTTTCCATTTTAACCCGGTTTCTCGCTGCACTGTACGATTTTTGAGTTTCTTTTCCATTTTGTCATGCTACGTCTCATAATTAGGGCCGGATTTACCTACTTGCTGCCCATGGGCCGCCTGTATTTTGCCGCCCCCTTCTCATTCGTTTTGAAACATCAATAAAAACCATCAAGTGAACGTGCCAGCGGGGGAGGGGTGCATAAGACGCGTTTACTCGTGTTGGACACATTTTTTGGGAAAGCTCTGTCAACACTACTAGCTAAAGTTCACGGAACTTTGCGTGAAATTTAAGTTTCGTAAACATATCTCTGTGTGGACAAGGCATTCCATTCATAAGAAATGAACAAAAAAACTATGAAAGAACAAAAATAAATGTGGTTTTATGATTATAACTTCCGGCGCCGCACTGCGCTGCCGCGCAGACCGCACCGCGTTTGGCGCAATGCGTGCGAAGTATTCCGATACTCTTGTGGGCGCTATGCGTTTTACGCTCACCGCACTACTGTTTTTGACACAATGCGTGAACTGTTCACGCATTCTTGTAGGCGCTATCCGTTTCACGCTCACCGCAGTGACCGCACTGTGTTTGATGCAATGCGTGGAGTATTCGTGGAGTCTCGTAGGCGCTAATATGTGTCACATGCCAACCGCGGCGCCGAGGGCTTCTCCTTTCCATCTCAAGTCCTCGTCATCATTTATCTCCAAGTCGCGCCAAATTGCGTGTTTGGTTTCTCTATTAACTCGACTAATTATAGGTGCTGTCTCTTGTATCACTGAAAGTCGACAAAATTAGAAATGACTGTACTCTCAGGAAATGAGAGATTTTGTCGATTTTTCTCGTTTGTAATTTATTTCTAAATCCGTTTTTTTTCATACCTGCATTCAACAAAATTGCAAAATTGGCCGCCCCCTGGATTTACCGCCATGGACCGCGGCCCATTTGGCCACCCCTTTAATTCGGCCATGTTCATAGTATGTGTATCATTGAATCGAATCAGTGAGATCGAAAACACACCAACTCGATAACTAGAAAATGCGCAACTCTCATTAAAGACGGTCAATTTTTATGAGAGTCATTGAAGTTAGCGCAGCTGTTCCAACTTGGACCTTCAACATGTCCGTAAGTGCCTATCTTTCTGCACCATACATCTTTTTCTTGAACTGATTTCTTTATCTACTGTGCAGTTTTGTGTGTGTCTTGATTACTTTCATTTTTCCGAGTTGGTGTGTTTTCGTTCTCACCGATTCAATTATTTTCCTTTAAAACAACGCACGAGAGGAAATTTGCAACGCCGCATTTTAAGGTACGTGTGTTTAGTTTAAGCCGTCGAGATATATCTTAAACGCTTACCCGCAATACTGCTCGTCTGTTAACTCTTTCCGCGAGAAGAAAGCGCGCGAAGAAAAAAAGCTTCATCTCCATTTTTATGACTTTGACGGGAGGAGGCTACATCTTTTCCGAATGGGGAGATTGACCGTTTGTCTAAGCGAAGCTTTAAACGGGCGTTTGTTTTGCTCGGGAAAGATTGCGTCTCAAAGAGTAGCAGCATCGTCTTCCCCATTAATTGCAAGTTCCTCGAGTATCTCAGCGCTCCAGACAGCCTTCGTGTTCGCGCGGACCCTTTGACATTTTATAGGATATTTAACGAGTTTTACGGGACCGTGTGCATTCAGAGCGTGACAGAAGGACAATAACAAGCGATCGATCCGGTCGGCAGAGGAGCCACTTCGCCGTACACTCGTAACAAACTAACAACGCCTTGAATTCATTAGACGTATGCTCCCGCAACTTTCATTACTTTCGGGGATTTACGATCACCGCACGCTGCTGTGCTAAGGAAGAACGCCGTATGAACCTTCAGGCGTTGACGAATTTCCTATGATAAAACACGACTTTACCGGTAAATTTATGAGTGTTTTTCCTTCAATTTTTCAGATAATTCTGTTCGCAAGTTCATCCAAAGTTCCTGAAAAAATTTCAGGGGAAATTTTCATAAATTCCCTCAAAAATAAACATTTTAGTGAAGGAAATGCGGCAACTCCCGAATGTTCATACGGCGTTTTTCCTTAGCACGGCAGCATGGTCTGTCATCAAGTTTGTGTTGTATTCTCGGCTTACGTTCTTCAGTGTAAGCAGGGATACCATATTTCGGCGTCTCACCGACGTAAAGGTCCAGTTACACGATCGAATTGAGCCATCAAACTGAAGCTCTGATTGGTGGAAAAAGACCTGAGGTGAGGATGCGACCAATGAGAGGCCCTAGATGGCTCAATTTGATCGTGTAACTGGACCTTAATGACGTATCTTTATTTCCACATGAGTCGCGGAAAGCATAGGCTTTTATAGAGAACAGAGCTCGAGTGGAAAATGAGGTACGCCCTTTACGTCAGTGGAGCGACGATTTTACGGGCCTCGCATTAATAATCTAAGCAATGTAATGGGGGTGAGGCAAAAGTTAAGTCATGGAGGTCAACGCTGCTTTTAGCCTGATGATGGTTGATGAGCAACTTGTTGTGCGTAAAATTTGCAAAATGATGACTGATGAATATCGGTCCGAGCATTTTTACTGAGAATGGAGATGTTGCATGTGTGAGGAATTTGCGATTTGACTGTTGATTCTTATGTAAAAGTTTGCGAGAAACACGATGGTGCCACTGGTTTTCTCTGAATTCAACTCCCAAGCTCAAAAAAAACTCTCAAGTTGAGGCCAAAATGGAGGGATATCCCACGCTATCCTGAGAGTCCACGTCTACATCAACACAAACTCTCCATGCGGAGATAGGGAGCAAATACATTGACAGGGCTGCCGCTTTATTTGAGGACTCTTAAACTGAAAACACGGCAACCCTGCTAATGTATTTGCTCCCTATCTTCGGATGGAAAGTTTGTCTTGATGTAGAGGTGGACTCTCAGGATATCGTGGGATATCCCTCCATTTTGGCCTCAACTTAAGAGCTTTTTTTGAGCTTGGGAGTTGAATTCAGAGAAAACCAGTGGCACCATCGTGTTTCTCGCGAACTTTTGTATAAGAATCAACAGTCAAATCGCAAATTCCTCACACATGCAACATCTCCATTCGACGTGAGAAGCAAATCGAGGGCTGAGGAACAATGCCGCCCACCTGGGTTAATTTTTGCGAAGAACGACGTTGCCGCATTCTTCAGTATTGAATATGCAAGCTAATGTGTTTAATTTTTTTCAATTTGGCATAGGATCGCTGTAAAGACGTTTTAATGTAAAGGAAATTTTTATTTTATTCTGACCGCAAAATTACAAAAATGGCGAAGTTTAATCTTATCCTGCGAAATAGATAGGCAGTTTGCAGATAGGTAGTACTGTTCCTTTAGTCAACGAAATTGAGATCGAACCAAGGACGGGAGTTGAGCAAACACATTAATTTACTCTAGCCGTTTCTTGGCCTGGGATCGAGATAACTTAACGATGTTAATCGTGATTTCCGCATGCGACTATTTGGGCTTGACGGGGGTCCGTGTTGCATAAGTAGTGAAATGAAGGCGCGCCGAATTTTCGTGCGCTCTCTGAATGAACGTCTACGCTCTGTCCCAATTTGCAAAACGAGACGTTGTAACGTTTGCAGGTAGTTTTCATTATGATCGGTGATTATTAGGAAGGTACCAAATTGATAAATGCGTATTACATAGCATTTGCCTATTTTAAAAAATTAAAATAGGGATTTTGTCTCCAGAGATAGGAAAAACAAGTTGGTTCCTACATAATAGACGCCATTCAACAAAAGACCTGTACTGCTCAGACATTGGCAATCAAGCTGGTTTCTTTTCATTTAAAAATAATGAAAATAATTGATTCTAGGTGAAACAGCATGTCTCGATTGACGTTTATAAGTTTACAAACATTTAGAAAGACAAAACTCGTTGTTGCTGAATTGCAAGAATCGTAACTAACTGTCGATAAGTAGTCGAAATAGATTAGCGAATCCTTGAAAACAGGGCTTATTTTTCTACTCCTGGATGTAACTCATATCGTCAGGACGATGTTGAATTTCACATCTCAATTTAAGGCCCGGNGGGGGGGGGGGGGGGGGGTGCGAGTCGAATAAAAATCGTGTTTTGTATTATAATTTTACACTTATCTACATATAATTATCTAATAATTTCATACGAAAACATTAGTTTTGAATAGGTAAGTAAACTAAGAGGATATATTTCGTGAGGATGCAATTTAAAGACACATAAATTTTTTCTTCAGTATCACATTCTATATTTCCGTAAAAACACATACACCTGTGTCTTGATCAAATCAAAACGTATAAGCCAACGATTTGCATCGTTTGAACAAAGTTGATGAGCAAATCGAAGTTTATGAATCGATATGTTAGAGAAGTCAATAGGCCTCCAAACAACGTATGAACTGTAACATCTGGGCAACAATCACGTTTTCTCTTCAAAATTTCACGAGGAAAACGAAATTTACAACTGGAAGTTGGGAAATCAACTCCTGAACTTGATACGAGTGTTTTTAATCACCATTAGTTAAATGGCGAAAATACAAATTATGTTATTCGTAGCTATGATCTGTGTTAAAATCATTATAACAGCATCAGGTATAACATTAAATCTGTCTATTTTGAAGGGGAAAAAATGTGCCGCTTTTTTCTAGTTCAGACCGTATTTTATGCTGCCGTATCAAGGAAAATAGCCGTATGAGCATTCAAGTGTTGCCAAATTTCCTCTCAGAAAATAGTTATTTTAACAGAGAATAATGAATATTTTTCCTTGAAATTTTCGGACTATTTAGATCAAATTACGGCCGCAATTCTCCAAAAAAAATCGGAGGAAAAATATTCACGAATATACCCAAAACTTGGTTATTTGCCGAAGGAAATTTGGCAACGCCTGAAGGCTCGTACGGCGTTTTTCCTCAACACGGCAGTATGGCCCATTCAAAATTTTTACTTTTAATTTCCTTCACAGTCCATATCTCATGCTAGAAGGCTCTTAAATATTTTCTTCAAACCCTTATCGATCCAAACCATTGTGCGTCGGCTCCATTCATTAGTGTTGCGTGGAAAGTCGCGTGGCCGTGTGGTGGTGGCGTTTCAAATCGGCCCGGCTCTGAAACGCGCTAAACTCCCTCGCTTGACGCTCTTCCAGCCCACCGCGACCGACGCAACAATTTTCCGCTTTCTTAACTTCTTCATTCTGACCGTCTTCAGTCCACACCCTTCCCAAATTCTCAAAACTTCGACTTTTGACACCCTGTGCCATTGTTGCTTCGTCCAACTGCCTCAAGTCCATTCAGTTCTATCTCAGCCTATTCTAGCTTTTTTAATGGAATCGTGTGAAATTATTTAGAACTTGAGAAAAAACGAAAGTAGTACACTGACTTCCACAGCAAAAACGCCGTAACTCCATTCTGCATTCTGCATTCTCCATTTTTCAATTTTTCCTCTACAAAATGTTGAATTACATGTTGTATTATCAAAGGAAAAGACCGAAGACTCCTACAGTGTACATCATTATCACGACGAAACATACATTGAACACATTGGGTGGACCTAGCGGAGAAGGCGGATGTATTTTCAAAACAGTCTCTTATTTTACACTTCTGCTTCTTGTTTTTCGGTTTCCTTCGGCTCATTTTTACCTCTCAGTAAACGCGCTTCGTTCTTGACCCAAGACTGGACTTCCCCGTCACCGAAAATACCATAAAAAATAGCACCAAAAATGTAAACACAGCTGGTGATCAGGAACATATTTTTCCACTCGGATGCTTCATGCTTCATTGAACAATAAAAACAAAAACGAAAAACAATTAAAACAATCACTGATGCGTCCAATTTAGCGAGTTAATGATTTTAAATCAAGGTGTAGAAAAAAAACTTACAATTAGTGCAGAATTATAACGACAGGCGGTTGGGTTAGGTGGAACCAATAAAAATATCGATGAACCAAACGCCTTTTTACGTCGTAAAAAAAATTAGACGATAATAGTGGTATAATATGTAGAAAAAACGTTTACTGACAATTTGTCAGTGTATAGCTCTTCAAAAAACTTGGTGGGGGCATTCATGGCGCACTTTTAAAGTGAGATTGAGGGGAAGAGGCACCATTATAGAAGGCCAATCCTTGTTAATTTTTTTCCATATTTTTAAGAAATCTTTAGGGGTTTTTTATACCTTCATTCAAATTTCTTTGATTATTCTTGCTTTATAATGCAAGGTGTAAATCCCTGGGTATGCACTTGATTAGCATGGAGGGCTAGAGAGTCACTATACAGGGTGCGGCAAAAGTCCCGGGACGGCTGTTTATTTTTTAAACGGCTACACGTAGAAAAACGAATTTTGGGGGATGTTCTTGGGTCAAAGTAAGCTACTTTTTGGCACTCCCCAAAATTTTTTTGGGGGCCCCCCTAGGGGAGGGCGGGGGGCAACTTTTTTTTTCAAATGGCAACCCCCCCCTTTGTGATACCTCACTCGAAATATAATAAAAAAAGAAAATTTTTGGCGCAAACCCCAGGTCAAAATGTTCATTTTTGACAAAATGGCGGCCGGTCAAAGTTCAAAATGGCGGAAATTTGGCATCTCCGTTGTTTATTGACGGATTGGTGTGAAACTCGGAATCCTAGGGTTTTTCGAGATGAGAAAAACGATTCTGGCATTGGTTTTCCAGAAAAGTCAGTCCTTTTCAAAATGGCGGCGGTCAAAATGGCGGCCTCGAGCGGGAAGTGGATATTTAGGTTGCATATCGTTGGATTTGCATGAAACTTGGTATCTGGGGGTATTTCGGCACGAGAAGAACGAATCTTTCATTGGATATCTGAAATTTTGACAAATTCCAAAATGGCGGCGGAAAAATTGCGGGAAATCAGTTTTACGGCTCTTTACCGATGGATTTGCATGAAATTCGATATCCTGGCGGTTTTTGGCTCGTTAAAAAGGAATCTTTCATTAGATTCTTGAAGTATCAAATAGTTTCATGCAAATCCATCGGTAAAGAGCCGTAAAACTGATTTCCCGCAATTTCTCCGCCGCCATTTTGGAATTTGTCAAAATTTCAGATATCCAATGAAAGATTCGTTCTTCTCGTGCCGAAATACCCCCAGATACCAAGTTTCATGCAAATCCAACGATATGCAACCTAAATATCCACTTCCCGCTCGAGGCCGCCATTTTGACCGCCGCCATTTTGAAAAGGACTGACTTTTCTGGAAAACCAATGCCAGAATCGTTTTTCTCATCTCGAAAAACCCTAGGATTCCGAGTTTCACACCAATCCGTCAATAAACAACGGAGATGCCAAATTTCCGCCATTTTGAACTTTGACCGGCCGCCATTTTGTCAAAAATGAACATTTTGACCTGGGGTTTGCGCCAAAAATTTTCTTTTTTTATTATATTTCGAGTGAGGTATCACAAAGGGGGGGTTGCCATTAGAAAAAAAAAAGTTGCCCCCCGCCCTCCCCTAGGGGGGCCCCCAAAAAAATTTTGGGGAGTGCCAAAAAGTAGCTTACTTTGACCCAAGAACATCCCCCAAAATTCGTTTTTCTACGTGTAGCCGTTTAAAAAATAAACAGCCGTCCCGGGACTTTTGCCGCACCCTGTATGTATGGTTTACATTTAAACATGGCTATATTGTTAGTCGATTACGGTTTGTCACCCTAATCATTTCAAAGAGCAAGATCAAATGACTGATTCATATTCTTATTTTTTTGGCTGAAATGGATGATTTATTCTAAAGAAATTGTAATTAAGCATTACAAACCTTGTGCTGAACAAGGTATCCTGCAAGTGTGGGACTGATCACTCCTGCCAGTTGAGAGAAAGTGTTATCTAAACCTTTCAAAATAGAAGCGTACTGCGGGGCAATATCTAAATTATTTACACTGAAACACATTCAATACGCGGTTGATTAATTACGAGCAGTAGAAAAGGTAGTAGTAGAAAAGTAAAAAGTAGTAAGTAGAAAATGTGTTCCGGTTCTATCGCAATTCCATAATAAAAACTGTTTCTCCTGAAATTTACACAACGCAGCTGTCCACATGATGACGAACATTTTATCCATAAGCTCTGATGTCTGCAGAGAGATTTTTGAAGTTAGGACACTGTGACGCCCTTTTTATGAGAAATTCGAGATCGAGTATTCTAAGAATCCTTAATATGATGATTTAAAACCATTCAATCATATTTATGCTCGTTTGAGAAATATTTATCAAGAGGCGGATCCAGCAGTTCGGGAACACTGGTTTTCCTTCATTTAAACCTGTGTTGAATAACCGATTCTTGTCGGAGCACCTGGCCTTTCCAAAAATCTATACATTTCCATAGGTTTAAATTGAGAGGAAACAATGTTGCAAATTTTCTGGCTCCACTGTTGAGATATATCCGGGCAAATGTTACATCAGGAGGATCTTGTTTTTAGAAGCAGACTTAAACAATCATATGTATATCAGGTCGGGAAAAAGTTTCCTCGATTAATTTTGTATTCAAAATTCTCGAGGAATGTTATTACGATTTGATACCGTGCATGGAAGGTTCCACAAATGCATCCACACAGAAAAAAAGCTATTGAGGATAAAACAAAGTCTGATATTAAGTTACCCATAAGAAGAGATAGCAAAAGCTGCAACGCTGCAAGATATTATCAAACAGAGAACTACTCCTACAGAAGTGCTCATGTATGAGACGATGAAGATGCAGATGGCCTGACAGGTAAAAGCAGTGCAAAGGAAAAACTTCCGCGCCTATGAACAAAAATTATCAATTACACACAAGCATTTCGGAAGCAAATTAGTGTCCGTCCAATTAGAATTTGGTGATGTATGGGTTACATGCTACGTAAAGAAGTCCTGAGATAATAGGCGAATTTTTGCGATTGGACACTGTCAACTTTTTCATCCAGAAAAATAAAAAAAAAAAGCAAAAACCTTTTTCGAAAGACCGTTGCCGAAAAATTAAATTAGTAAAAAAGTAAATTAGAAAATAATTTCTGAAAACAGGGATTGGTGTCACAAGAATGTCGATCATTTTCATGAAGAGAGGTTAGTTCTTGATTTTTTGAGTAATTAGATTGAAGATTTAAAAATATAAAGAAATTGGGGTTTGGGCCTAAACTGATCAGTTGACTCACATGCTTAGTGGTTAGGTAGCTGGCCCGTACCCAGTCGATGAAGAAACCTGCTATTTGCATCATTAGACTCGAACCCACATAAGGTAAAGCTGATAAAAGCCCAGCCTCAGCCAAGTCAAAGTTCAGCATTTCTGTAAATGTACCAAACGTGCAACTTTATACGATCTCTGACGCAATTAAGTGAAATATGACCAAAGAACATAGTGGTAATAAATTGCAGTAAACAGTAAACTTATTAAAATATTTTAGTCAATATTGCTATTCAATATTTTTCTAGGAACTAGAATAATCGCAATATTAAAAGTCCATAATCGCAATATTGAAGCCTATCAAGATTGGCTTCTGAGGGGTTCCTTTTTGATTGGCTTGATCGGCTTCATGAACCTCGTAGGATGAAAAAAAAAATGGCGGACATCGCATGAAGATGAAACTAAAGTGCAGACTATGAGGTTTTATGTGGACTTTTTTTTCGTAGTTAGGAACTACAAATTCTGTCTCAGTTTAGAAACAAGGCATGTACCATTAATATTCCTATTCACATAAGTTTTTTTACGAATGAGTCAGATATTGTCGTCTATAATTGTAAAATGTAGTCTATTTGCTCGTATCACTGTGAGATTCACTCCTATCAAGCATTCAGGCGCATTGATTCAGTTTTGAAACCACTTTTCTGCATCCTAGTTGAAAACCCAATTTCGTCTTGAAAATCGGAAAATTTAAGTAACTTATACAGACTGAGGAAATCATGTAGAGTATAATGAATAGCTCATAAATGTTCAAATATTGAGATATATACCTTTCATAAAAGTTGGAAGTTGCATCAACAACGTGTAAAAACCCAAATCTTCGGTAAACATGGCAACCGCGATTGCCCAGACAGGCATTGATGTTAAAATACTTCTCCATGGAACTGACATCTAAAGTCAAAGAACCACTCATTTAAATCGCTGATTAGGAGAAAAAAGTCTTGTTGAAACCAAGAACAGACGTAAAAGGTGTAGAAAATCATTCCACGTCATTGCTTCAGAACATATTCTCATGAAATAGATTTTACGTTTCGGATCTAACGGATCACCCTCAACACTCACAAGCCAGTAAGATAGAGTCGGTTCGAAAACATGAGTTGAGTAATGGTGATATTGTAAGATTTCACAAGTTAAAGTTGCGTGAATAAACCAAGTACCATTCTCTATTGCAACTTTGTTCACAGCGATTTTTTTGTAGTGTTAAGTTAATTTTAAAGTGTTGAATTTGATGCTAGTTTCTTGATTTTATCGGTATTTTTCTCCAGCGGTATTTTTCTACGCGGTTTTTATCCGTACCTCCCGTCAAAGTCTGCATACACATCAGCTGAACCCTCTCCTCCCTTATTCTTGCACTAAAACTCATTAAAGATAATTTTGTGGCTTCAATTCTGATTTTTGTATTTTTTGGCTTTGATTCTCCGCAATTTGGACCCAGCACTATTCTACTATCCTGTCACATATACCCATTTTTCAAATAGATAAGAGAGTTGAACCGTGACAATTGGGTTCTCCGATGCACTTTCCCCCTTCAGATGTTGGCGAGGCAACCATTCTTACAGAGCATATCGACGGTGTAAGTTGGCAATCACATAACTCGTTTTGCGACGTTGCAGACTTCCTGCCATACTTTCTTTTTTTAACGGAAAACTACTCAACGGCAATTCTTTAAAACTGCCGTGATATTTCTTCTCTGTGCGAGGCAAATTCTGCAAAATAACTTCAAAGAACGATGTCAATTGTTCTCCTTTAAAAAATAACATAGAGGCGGAGATTTTCAGACACCGCAAACGAGATATGTGATTGCGGACTTACGCCGTCAATGTGCACTTCAACAAATCTCGGGTTGTCTTACGGATTCATAAAATCTTCTTGATGCTCTTTGTACCTACTATGTTTCATGCACTAATAAAGAACTTGGATTTTATTGTGTTGGAAAACAACACATGAATAAAAACCAAAACTTAGTTTAACGTGACAAATGCTGGATCAGTAATACAAGCTCCATGGAAAGGCATTGTCATAAAATGATCTATTACCTTGCTATCTGAAGAGGAGCCGGACAAAGAGGCATGAATGTAATTCATCTCTTCGGTAGATATATGAGGGTCGTCCTCTGGTCGGTCTTTCACGACCCAAAACCATATTATTGACCAAAATAAAGCTATGAGACCTGTAAATTGTTAAAGTAAAGACGTTTGAATATTTCGTCGTTTTATGGACGAAGGTACGTAACTCCATCCCAAAATTGCAAAATCGACTCAAATAATTCAACGTTTTGAAAGTGTACACGTGCACCTGCACAGTTTTCAAAAAAAGCGAAAGCAAACCCTCGATCCAAAATAATCAACTTGAATGTTTTGGAGGTCAAATGAGCCAGTTTTGCTGGTCACAGAATCGTGTTTTGCTGCTTGATTCTAGTAGATTAGTTAAAAACAATAAGATCCGTCCAAACAGTAACTTCCTACAATCAATATTAACCGAGATATCGCCCTTTGAAAATTTTGGTTCTTGACGTCATCCACCGCGGTAATGACACCATTGGTTTCTTCCGCCTTGCCTTCATCCAAGTTTCACGTTGAAAAACTAGTGCTAACGTGACACAGACTTACAAAAACAAGGGGGACGAAACCAAGGGTGTCACTACTGCGGTGGATGACGTCAAAAACCCGACTTTTCAATGGGCGATACCTCAGTTAATAGTAGAAAGTTGCTGTTTGGACTGATCCTATTATTTTCAGCAAATCTACATGGACCGAGCACCAAGACACGATTCTGTGACAAGCACAACTGACACATTGGAAACTTTTCGTAGATTGCCCTTGTCCGTTTCACGCCGAGCGCCAGCGACTGCACTGTGATTGGCGCAATGTGTGAAGTCTTCCTAAAGTCTTGTAGGCGTTAATATGCGATCAGCGCCGACCGCTCATCGCACTGAGTTAGATGCAATGCGCGAAGTATTTCTGCAGTCATGTAGGCGCTAATATGCGTTTCGTGCCGCCCGGCGGCCGCACTATGTTTGGCGAGATTAGAAACAATGACACAGTGTGAATAGTATGAACCTGCGCAATTTTCATTTAAAATTTCCTTAATCTTAAAAAATCCTTACTCAAGTAATTTTGGTTCCTGTGGATCATTTCGATGGTAGATTGTCTCAACGGCAAGGGAACCAGGAGCGCATCGTGTCTATTTAAGACATCATATTTTTAAAATTTAAAATCTTCGCAGTATATTTTGTAAGCAATTATTATCAGAAAGGAATTTCTCATTTCGTTGTGTTGCCATGCTTGTGTAATTTGATTTTAGAGGCTTTTGTCTTCTTACCTCGACACTGTGCCGGCGTAAAAAGATGAATCACAATCCCCTGTTTTTCATAAATTTTTCTTTGAGAGTCATACCACTTTGAAAGACCTCGGTAAAAATTGGCGATAAGAGCGGCGTTTCAAAATACCATAGGAATTCTTATAGCCGGCTGAAGAAGGCTGCAGAAAATCATATGATTTTCTGTATAGCTGGCTGTAGAATGCGGAGAAAATCATACGGTCATTATATTTTCCTTTAATACATATTTTTTTTCATCAATTAAAATGAGAATAATCCATACCGGATTTGCAAACATTTCAAAATCATGAGTTGAATAACGCTGACTCCGCCAGATTAAATATTAGAATCTAACACAAAGCGGAGCGGCAACGCACTGGCGCCTACAAACCTAACAGGGATACTTCACGCATTGCGCAACGCGTGAAGTATCCCTGTTAGGTTTGTAGGCGCCAATGCGCGTTACGCGCTGGCTGCCCGCCTGCCGCGCCACAGCGTGCCACGGCGCTTGAAGCAACTATTTCACACCAGAGGTATTGCATAGTATCATACGAAACTGAAGGCGCCCTAAGCTATTAGTAATGGCAGGCATTCATCAAAAGTACGGAGCTTTCCTCGCAAAATAAATCAAGATTCTACGGCACAAAAAGATAGCAGTAGTCCAAAAACTCACTAAGTCCTAGCATCCGTAATTAGTAACGTTTAGCATACTTTTTATCGCCTGGCTCTTGCATAGTCGCCATCGGCTATAAAAGGCTATAAGAAATTGTGTAGCCGGCTATAGAAGCTATTGGAAATCTTACAGCCGGCTGTAGGTCTATGGTATTTTGGAACACAGATTCTACTGCCAATTTTTACCAGGGGAAAATGAAAGACACTCCGTCTTTTCAAATGAATTCTCGCAGACTTATTGTTGGTTACCTGTGACGTAGAAGTCGGCTGCCCAACCCAATATTTGGGCCAGGATCCCACAAATAGGGTTGGTGACAACTAATCCGACATAGATCCCAGAGGTTGCAATAGACGCAAGTTGAGTCCTTTCCATCGGCGGTGCCCATTGTGACCAAACAGCATCAAGACACGGAAATGTCACTCCCTTCATAAAACAACGGAGAGTATCAAAAGTTAGTATTGCGATTCGGTAATGAAATCGGAGTTTTTGATGGGTTGGAAAGCATGTCAACCGTCAGTAAATCATGAGTCCTCAAAGTCTCGTGTTGGGCAAAAAAGGGGTAAAATAAGTTTTCGTATCGAAAACGTTTTATTTAAAATAGTAAATTACGTGAAAATTAATGTTTTTTTAAAAAAAAAGAATTTACTTCCCCTTCTTTTGAATTTTTTTTATCAGATTTCGTCGCCCCCCTCCCTCTTAATGTAAGGGCGTATCTCGATTTCCTCGTAAGCCCGGTTTTACATATGTCGCAGGCAAACAGTAAAATCAGGCATTTTGTAAAATGCCTAGGCAGATAGTCAAATATTCTAACTTAGATTGAAATTCTGATGCATTTTCCAATTTTAGACAAAATAATTAATTTGCTCCTGCAAAAAAAAAAAAAAAAATTATTAGTAAAAATTGGCATCATACAATTGTATTTTAAACGGTTATTTTTAGCTCCTGAACAGACACTTATCTTGAAATTTTCAACCTGTCAGAAAATACTATTTTTTTAGAATTTCAACGTTTAAAAATATGAGGAGCCATTGAAGAGGAAGAGCCGAAAAGAGTTCGCAGGTGTTTGATAAGTTATTTTTCCAAAAATAGTGAAAACTATAGCTCTTTGCCATGAATTCACAAAATTTTGTAGACCGTCAAAATTTAAGTATCTTCCTAGGCATTTGAGAAAATGCCTGATTTCACTTTGGCCTGTGACACATATACTTCACTCTATGATTTCGGGGGCTCTTGCGGGAATCGAGATACGCCCTTACGCTGGAGAAGCGACAAATTGTGAACTCTGGCGGGGTAAGATACAAATCTGTTTCACCTTTGATGAAATGGTCTTATGCTGTAAGCTAGGATGATGGCAGTTGCCTGTTGGAAAATTTACCTGAAACATACCCTCTAGAATCCTGAGAGCGACCAAGAAGTAGACGTTGAGTCTGGCCAAAGGCGGCGTGATCAGGGTAAACAGCGCTGAGGCTGCGACTCCGATCCCGAAGAGGCGAGCACCACCGAAGCGCCGACTCAGATACGCGCCCAGGATCTGCGTGCTGATATATCCGTAGAAAAAGGAGCCGAGAACCATACCACGTAGTTTAGAATCCCAGTCGAACTCTTGTACCTTTAAATTTTCACGAGAAAGTCAAATTATGTGATCTGGTTCTTCCGAAAACAAACATCTTGAGGATCCCAAATATCCGAAATGAATACGCTCCTCGAACAGTCATAGGCGGATCCTCCCCGGGAGAGGGGGGGGGGGGTTAGAGTACCTTTATAGACAGAATATGGTCATTCCTACAGAGTTCGTTATGCAGGGCATTTCTGTATTAAAGTCCTTGACATGTGTTGCTCATCTTCTTTCTTAGATGAATGCCATGTTATGCTATTATAATACATCAGTTCATTCAAATTGATTACATTCATCTAATTCCGTTCTGTGGTGATAGGTAGGTAATTCGCAGAATGCAGATAGAATACGCAGTGAATCTATAGTGTGTGCGTCTAATACAGGAGGAACTGGGATAATAAAACTCCCGCATGTCACAGGGATTTCCAATTTAAGTAGTATTTTTAAGAGTAATTTTATGAGCGGTGTTGCCTCTTTGTTTGAGGACTTCAAGGCTTTTGAAGCAAGGCAACCCTGCTAATGTATTTGCTCCCTACCTGTACATGGAGAATCTGACTAGATAGAGGTGAACTATCACAGTAATGTGAACGATTTTCGCAATGACGGTTTCAAATTTCAGAGATTTTTTAAGCTCAAGCGCCTGTCTTACAGAAAATTAGTGGCACCATCGTGTGAATCGCGAAAATTTACTTATATCGCGGATCCTCGCGTCATACAAGAGCCTTATTTGGAATAGTACGCACCATTTGGCACCATTGTTCAGTTGATAATCGGTAAATGATGTTATTACAAACCATTGCAGAGATTGTGGTTCCATTTTCGAGCTTCACAACTGAAAGTTGCTCTGACGTCATAGCTACTATTGCAACGCTCAAATTCACTCTGATGGCATACATGTTCATGAATCCAAAGAAAGCCAGAAATGACACTAAATACCGTTTACGCTTGAAAATATACCATTTTGAACTGTAAATGAAACGGAAATTAGTGTTTTGTTTTTACATAAAGTGGTCCACTGTTTATCGACGTGAGAAAGCCTGGTGTGGTTAGGAACATCAGTTTTATACGATACTCTTTTTCAGACCGCTTCAATTATTATTGTTGTCGTAGTTAACAGACTTTGTCTAGTCGTGGCTTTCGCCTAATACAATAAGCGCTGGAAATGTTTATGACTGTAGAATAAATTTTTTCTTTCTCTATATCCGAAATAATTTTTTATGTTTACTTCATAGTTTCGCACGAAAGAAGGAAAAAAGAAATGAGACAAATATAAGATACGAAGGTATAAATTTACGTATATTTGTGGAGTTAAAGAAGACAGGAGGAAATTTAAATTTACAATTTCAATGACTTAAAAAAATTGAGACGTGCTGACTGAACTCAATACATGACTGGTATTGAGACCAAATTAATAAGTAGATGAATCAATGAATACATAGATTAATAAACACGTGGCTTCTGAATAACTTCTGAAAATGTCGCGTTTTGGTTTTAATGTTACTAATTTTCTAACTTACTCATGGAGTGGAGGTTTGGGAAGGTCAGTCTTGTTGTTGTATTCCATGGCAAAAATCAAGTAAACTGGAACTTTAGTGACGCGAGGTGCCGCAATCCGATCACAACAAGAGGCAGGTAAAGTGCTGAGAGGAAAAATCGTCTCAACTTAAATTTTAGCCGCCCGCAGCCCCTTGAATTTTAATCTTTCTTCAAGTTGATCGAGTACTCACCGAGCGATATCGACGACCAAAGTGCGACACCACGTATCTCCATTGCGGTGTCCCAAAATCTCCGCCCTTAGTTTATTTTTTCCGAGAGGAACAAATCAACTATACAGCTTGAAATTTTTACGGAATATTCTACTAACTGATGATGGGTTTTTATGCTGCGTCATTTTCCTGTACGAGGAGAAATATCATGTAAAAACTCTCATATGGCAAAGCGTAAATATTACGAAGGTATCCCAAAAAGTAAGTTTCCCTATTTTATTTCTCCAAAATTATTACAGCTAGAGCAAATATTTATATGTATAGGGTTTTGTTGGTTATACTTTCAACGTTAAAAGAAGCTAAAGTTTTTGTAATTTGACCCAAGGGTTGTCGAGATATTCAACTTTTCCTGCACCCACCTCCTTTCGCCATGGGTCAGATTTTTGGCTACCGGGAATTTTTGGCTGTAGGGGAACTTACTTTTTGAGTACTATGTTGTTGCATATTGCACACTTTATAAAATTTTATCTGCAATATGAACACAAATTATTTGTTTAACTTAAACTTTTTTTGATAACCGATTAAATAGCACTTACTTTCTTATTATTCTCTACGCACAATGGTCATTTCGAGCGGGCAGGCCGCCCATCTTCAGGTGACTGAACTGGTATGGAAAGATTAAAAAATACGGCTACTTTTTGAGATACCCTCGTAGGTATACTGAATTTATTTTTTAATAAAATGAATAAATATTCACAAGTTCCCTTGAAAATGTTTAATTCATCGAAGGAAATTTGGTATCTCTTGAAATGTATACGGCGCGCCGTGTATTCTTCATTATCAGAACACATGGTGAACACAGAGGGTGGAATTAGCGAATATTACGGATGCATTTCCATTGCAGTTTCTAATTTTACACCTCTGCTTCCTTCGGTTCAGCTTTGCGTTTTCCTGACTGCGTTTCGTTTTTGGCCCAAGACTGGATCTCCCCGTCAGCGAACACACCGTAAAAAATAGCACCAAACATGTAAACGCAGCTAGTAATCAGGAATACATTTTTCCACTCGGATGCCTCCTGTTTCATGAAGCAAACAAACAAAAAAATCAATTATTTCATTCTGCTAAATATCTGTTTTACGGTTTAAATTTTTGACATAACTTCTCGAAAAATTCGGCGGGGGCATTGATCTTTATAAGTTTTTTGCGTTTTATATGAAGTTCTTTGCTACAATTTTCCTTCAAAATAAGCCATTAGTACCTGAAAATGCACTAGATTAGCGTGAAGGGCATAGTGCATGATTCCTATATTCAATGAGTCGACCGTGCATTGTCATTCTGAGCGCTCCGTAAAAAAACAAAATCGAATTTTCTGTATTCTTATTTTTTGATTGAATAAGTGAGCCACGCGTCAAAGAAATCGTATCCAATCACAACCTACCTTGTGCTGAACAAGATATCCTGCGATCGTAGGACTGAGCACTCCCGCCATTGAAGAGATGGTATTCTCTAAACCCTTTATAACACAAGCGTGCTGTGGTGCAATATCCAAATTATTTATACTAAAACATAATCAAAATATATATGCGATTAATCTACAGTGTAGATGCTGCCAATATAGATTGGTTTTATGATGATAAATTTATCTTCCTTAAATTTAAAATTGCTTTATTTCTGATGACGAGGATTCATCTAGGCGTTATCCCTGTAACTTTTAAACAAATCGAGTTAGACGCCTGAAAATATGTGAGTATTTCTAGGTCAAGGACATGACTGTAGTGTCCTCTCTCGCTCCCGAAACTCTAAGGGGACCCCTTTAAGAAAAAACCAAGAGCTCTAAGGGACTTAGGGATGTTACGAGACTTTTTGATCACCCTGTATAGCTACCAAAATTCGTTTCGAAGTCAGGACGCTACAACGCCCCTATTTTGAAAAAATCGAGGTTATATAGGTTTTTTAAAAATCTTTCTGGCAATTTTGTAATACTGTTTGGCGAACAACTGTTGCATCTCAAGTTGAGTGTTAATATGAATTGGACGTATTTCTGTCAAACGGAACTATGTGCATCATTACGTGAGCCCTGTTATGCATATATTCTAATGGGTTTCAGGGCTCATGTCTGAATCATAGTTCCGTTTCGTAGAAATACGTCCAATTAGAGCACAAATTTCATTTGGACCGCGCTAAACAGAAAGGAACCAAGCCACATCAGCTATTGCCAAATTCAATTGGGCAATTTAATTTTTTACATGAAAATGGTTGTGCGAATTTGCGTGCAAATTTCAGTGAAAATTCTCCATGGCGCGAAGCAAATTCCTTAAAATTTTCAAAGAAATCCGAACAAACGTTCTCTCATAAAAAATTTAATTGCCCGGTTAAACTTGGCAGCAGCTGATGTGGCTTGGTTCCTTTCTGTTAAACTCGGTCCATTTGATACTGAGGGATGATTAATGAGAAACTGGTTATTACATGGGTTCATGCTAATGTCTTGAATTAAATTTAGGATTTTTTTTATTTGAGATTTTAAATACTTTATGATATTTATTTAAATATTTGAAATTTGCTTATTTCTTGAACCGTTCAAGGCATTCAATAAAATTGGAAATTAAAAATAGTTTTTGCAGATAAAAAAACTGAAATCAAGTTACTCACTCGAAAGCAGCGCAAGCAAAAGCTCCTATACTGCAAGATATGATCAAACAGGAGACGACCCCGACAGGCGTGTTCATGTAAGAGATGGCAAAGATGCAAATGGCTTGACAAGTAAAAGCTGTGCAAGTGAACAACTTTCGCGTCTATAACAAGAATAATCAATTAATTCATCATTAAACATAAATCAAACATTTAAATCATCGGCCATTAATCCTGTCTTGAACGCTATTGGCAATTTCATCGGGCTTACAGATAAACCACGTTTTTTGTTTCATTTTCAATACGCTGATAGTGTCAAGTTACTCACTTATGAAAAATCAGATTTAATGAATGCTTTACCTTCATATAAAACTAAGAATTTTAGTTAAAATTTTTACAAAATTAAAATCGTTAAAAGGCAGTTTTTAAAAAATGAAATCTGAGGACAGCAGGGATATGTTAAAAGAATTTCGGTAAATTAAAGTGGGAGGAAATGGATTTTTCACTTGATTAGCTAGAAACAAAAGTTTGAAAAATGTATACAAAATTGTTCTTAACTTAAAGTAAACTGTGTACATACTTGCTTCGTTGTTAGGTAATTAGACCGCACCCAGTCAACGAGGAAACCAGCTATTTGCATCACTAGAGCCATACCCACGTAAGGTAAAGCTGATAAAATTCCAGCCTCGGCCAAATTGAAGTTCAAAGTTTCTGCAAAAGAGCCAAACATGTAGTTTTAGGCAAGTTCGGACGATATAAAGAATGCAACGATTTAGCGAAATACGACCAAAGGGCACGAGAAAAAAGAATAAATTTCAATAAAATAGCGCAACTTTAAAAAAATATCACAAATTGCCTATGTACCTTTTTAAAGGCGCTATAATAATCACAATAAGTTGCAAAAATATGTAAAAACACGTTAGGTTAATGTTGTCAGTTGCCTGTCCTCCTTTTTGAAGGCTTTTGCAATAATTGTAATATGTTACTACTTCGCAACTTAAATGTCTTCCAATTTTTAAATTCCCCACTAATAATAGCTCCTATGATAATTGATAGTAGAGCTTTAAATGTTAAGATTTATGTATACCTTTCATGAAGGTTGGAAGTTGCGTCAATAACGTGTAACAGCCCCAATCTCCAGTAAACATAGCAACAGTAATGGCCCAAACAGGCATGGATGTTATGATATTTCTCCATGGAATTGGCATCTAAAGTCACAATACAATACCAGTCACTTAAATCACTAAGAGGTAGACAAGAATCATAAAGAAAAGGGCAGAAAAGAAAAGACGGAGAAAAGACCGAAAAAGGTGCTGAAAATCATCACATGGCTTCGTTTTATAGCATATTTTAGCAAAAACATCCTAGATACATCTTATCCAATGTATCGCCTTCGATAATCACAAGTCATGCCATACGACGGTTTAGTATCGATGATTGGTCCACAGAGCAATTAATCCTAATTCTAATCGTCTAACTTTCCATTCAATGGACTTGCTGTAAGAAGTGGAGTGACAATTGGACGCAACAAAATCAGATTATCTTCATGTTATTTTCGTAATTGTTCCTGGGACAGCAACTGATTGAGATTATTATTTCGTCGCTCTGACAAAAGAGCGTAACTACACATTGAAATGAGCCCGGAATAGTATTCAATTGTATAGATGCCAGGGTTCATTGGAGAGTGTAGTTACGCTATTACGTCTGGAAGGTGAAGATTCGAGCGATTAATGGTGATACTGAATTATCCCTCACGCATCAAAATTATCGGAGTAAAATCTTGTATCTCGATGAAAGGGAAATTGAATGTAATTTCACATTTATTGTTCCATCGGAATTTTCCTGTAAATTTATTTTTCAGATTTATTTTTTGGTAATGCCTCAAGTCAAACTCTCCCTACGGTTAAATAAATATCCAACAAGTTACATGGACATATATATCCTTCAGGTTCTCGCTAGACTACCACACGGCACATTATGCTTGAACAAATGGACTACATTTTGCAATTTGGAACTATAAATTCTAGCCCGGTTTAAAAACAACGTATGTGCCATTAATTTCCCTATGCACATAAGTGTTTTTCCAGAAGAGCCAGAATTTATAGTTCCAAATTGCAAAATGCAGTCCAAATCTCGTGTCATCATAATGTAAATTTGTTATGTAAATTTTAAAGTTTATTTTCTCTTACTATTTCATTCATCGATAAATAAATAACAGTATATTTATATTTTCTTGCAACTGCATACCAATTTAATTTAGCTGATTCATTCACTAACGTAATCAATCATAAAATGATATGTTACCTTACTATCGGACGAAGATTTGCAGAGAGAATCATGAATGTACTTCAACTCCTCGGTAGATATATGAGGGTCGTCCGCCGGACGGTTCCTGACAGTCCAGAACCATATTAATGACCATAGCAAGGCAATGGAGCCTGTGAATTGTGGCGGGGGGAAGTTCAAATTAAAAAGGTTTAATATTTGAGAAAATATATGAAGAAAGTGAGGATTAAACCGTATCTTGGTCAACTTTAATTTTTAAGTTGTCCCAATGAATAAATTTGGATCCTTAAGTTTACTTTGAACATACGTCTCAGAGAGAATAACAAAATATGAATATCACGGTTATTTAGAATGTTAATTCCAAATTTTAAATATTGGTTGTCCTTTTGTAATATATTGAGAATAAATCATTTGTATCATAGAGAAATTGTGCTATGATTGTGCACTTGTGCAGTATACCTCACTCTCGATGAAAATTCTGATTTTTGGGACTGATTTTCTCCCACGTTAGCGATGAGTGGGTTAAAGGAAGTGTTGCCAAAAATACTCGGATATATTTTCAGGAAAGAATACGCGAAGGCACTTGGCTCTTTTTTAGTGAATTCAATCTGATTTATCGTCAGTACCTGTGACATAAAAGTCGGCTTCCCAACCAAAAATTTCGGTAAGGATTCCGCAAATAGGGTTGGTGGCAACTAATCCAACATAGATCCCAGAGGTTGCTAGAGACGCAAGCTGAGTCCTCTCCATCGGTGGAGCCCACTCTGACCAAAGAGCATGCATGCATGGAAACGTCACTCCCTGGATAATACAATCGGAATACAGTGGCCAAAACTTAATTGACAACGTCATTTCGTTAAATAAAATATTGAGTATTGATTGGTTGCAGACAATGTCATTCACCGGCCGATTGCAGGTCACCAAAGCCGTTTGCCATATAATCGAAGAAGTAAAGGAAATCGCTGTGTTTTAAGAAAACGACAATTTTTTTTTAAAATAGGCATGACTAGCTCCGATATAGTTCAATGGGGGAAAATATTCAACACTTAAAATTCCAGTCACCCTTGAGAAGTAGACGGAAATGTTTTATGAAGGAGGCGACTGTGTGGTCTAAAATTGCTCATGATCGAAGGATGGAAAGAAACGAAAATTCTTAAAAACCGCAAGAAACATCTTTTTCGCAAAATTTTCGTACCAACTAAAAAATCTTTAATTTTAGACTCTCAGGATTCTCTAAAGAGAGAAAACTATATAGATGGCGAAGGTCTAATTTCAGCTTATTTCGATCTTCACCATCCACATGTCTTTTTATCTTTACAGGGTCGTAAGAGTCTAAGATTCCCTGGTAAAAATAGGCAATAAGAGCTGCGTTTCAAAATACCAAAGGAATTCTTATAGCCGGCTAAAGAAGACTACAGAAAATCATATAACTGTCTGTAGAATGTGGAGAAAATCATACGGCCGGGCTATACGAAGCGATAAAAAATTATGCAGCCGGGCTATAGTTTCTATCGCCGGGCTTTACTTTTTATCGTCTGGCTGTTGCTTTTTCGCCATCGATTATAAAAGGCTATAAGAAATTGTGTAGAAATTCGTGTGCTTTGGAAGTCATTAAGTTTGATACGGAACCACCTCAATATTTACAAAACACACATTATATTTTCCTTTAATACATATTTTTTTCATCAATTAAAATGAGAATAAACCATACAGGATGTGCAAACATTTCAAAATCATCAGTTGAATAACGCTGACTCCGCCAGATTAAATATTAGAGCCTAACATAAAGCGGAGCGGCGACGCACTGGCGCCTACAAACCTAACAAGGATACTTCACGCATTGCGCAACGCGTGAAGTATCCCTGTTAGGTTTGTAGGCGCCAATGCGCGTTGCGCGCTGGCTGCCCGCCTGCCACGGCGCTTGAAGCAACTATTTCACACCAGAGGTATTGCACAGTATCATACGAAACTGAAGACGCTCTAATATATTAGTAATGACAGGCATCCATCAACAGTATGGAGCTTTCCTCACAAAATAAATCAAGATACCACGGCCCAAAAAGAGAGCAGTATTCCAAAAACTCACTAAGTCCTAGCATCCGTAATTAGTAACGTTTAGCATACACTTTACCGCCTGGCTGTTGCTTGGTCGCCATCGGCTATAAAAGGCTATAAGAAATTGTGTAGCCTGGCTATAGAAGCTATTGGAAGTCTTACAGCCGGCTGTAGGTCTATGGTATTTTGGAACACAGATTACTGCCAATTTTTACCGGGGTTGGACTTTAACTTTCCACCCGTCGTGAGACCAAGTGGCTTACGTTACTTAAAGACTCCCTAAGTTCTTAAGCTACGACGGTCAGGCACGAAGCCAGGATATTGTTTCGGGGGGGGGGGCTTGCGGGGTCCCTCTACTACCGAGGGGTCCGGGGAAAATTTTAGGGATTTGCAATCTAATTAGACGCATTTTGAGGCTTCAATGACGCAGATCTTCCATCAATGTCTGCAGAAAAATCACGTTTCCTTTTTGAACTTTTAGTAAAAAATGCATACAAGCACTCAAAAAGATCTTGAAAATTTTTGAAATTTTAACTCTATTTGGACGCATTTTGAGGCTTTTCTGACGAAAATTTTAGGAATGTACACGGTGTTTTCATTTTAAACTCTACATTAAAAGAGATGAATATCTTCGACGGTCTCAAACTTATTCTTCTCTCGCACTTTCTCATCTTCTGTCTCCTCTCTCCTTCTCTCTTTTCCTCCTTTTTTTTTGCTTTGGGGGGGGGGGGGGGCTTAAGCCCCCTCCCGTCCTTCCTGGCTACGTGCCTGATGATAGTTAAACATTTACCTGAAAGAGACCCTGGAGGATCCTGAGAAGGATCAAGAAGTAAACGCTGAGTCTCGCCAAAGGCGGCGTGATTAGAGTTAGGAGCGCCGAGACTGCTACGCCAATCCCGAAAAGACGGGCACCGCCAAACCGCCGACTCAGGTAACCCCCGAGGGCCTGCGTACAGATGTAACCGTAGAAAAAGGAGCTGAGGACCAGACCCCGCAGTTTAGAGTCCCAGTTGAATTCTTGCACCTGAGCAATAAACGAGAAAGTCACGTCGTGCGAAATTTGGCGCTTTTCACTCTTGCACCGGGGCACAGTGCGGCCCTCTGTGGACAAAAATCAAAAATCCACAACTGGACATCTGAATATTCTTTTTTTTAGCGTTTGTCATCTTAAAGGTATTTCTAACTCACAATGATGGTTCATTTTCAAATTTTTCGCCCAAAATCAGCGCAAATTTGGGTGGAAAGTGGGTCGAGAATCACTGGTCCATTGGGAATACGCAGGGAAAAGACGACAACTTTAAATGAAGACCCCTCGCTTGAAACGCAAAATGCTGTGGGTGGTTGACATTTTCTTAATCCTCACATATCCAAAATTCAATTCCACCAAAAAGATTTTGCGACTATCAGAGATATTTGAAGTTGAAGTTTGGGTGTTTCACGTTGCTTTTACATTGTTAACATAGGGCTAATTCGAGGTTGCCTACCTCAAATTAACTTTTCTCGAAAAATACGCAAAAAATCTTGAGCTGGAATATTATCTTATTCTTTGAGTGTTTTACTTTGATAGTGCCAAAGGGTTTTCCTATGTCGGTGCCACTACTTCCATTACTTAAAGTTAAGTGTCTTTTACCGATTTTTGTGCCGCACTATACGGCGGAATAAACGAGAAAGTCACAACAAGCGAAATGTTGCGGTTTTAACGAGGAAAAAAATTCTACGGGCCCCGCATTGTCGACATGAATAGGATCTCCCCTGAAAAAAATTGAAGTTTCACAATCGGGTTGACAATTTGATAGGTTTGCAAAGTCGCAAATTGTGAGACGGATGTTTTTCTAGCTTCACGTGAGAAATGCATTACCCTTTGGAAAATAAACTTAACGGATTGACAATATTACAAACCAATGTAGAGATAGTGGTTCCATTTTCAAGCTTCACAACTGAAAGTTGCTCTGAAGTCATAGCTACTATTGCAACACTCAGATTTACTCTGATAGCATATATGTTTGTAATTCCAAGGAAAGCTAGAAACGCCACTAGATATCGTCTACGCTTGAAAATATACCATTTTGAACTGTAAATAAAACGGAATTTAGTGATTAGTTTTCATACGGAGAGGGTGTTTTATTTATACACGGAACAGTCTGGCGATGCAAAAAATAATGTATACTTATAACAGTATCAACTCGGGCTAATAGCAATATTCTGAATGGTATAATCATCCAATTATTTATTATGTAAAAAAAATTAAAAGAGTGTTAATAATCGAGATTATACCTTGAAGACTTTTCTGTATTAAAAAGAAAGTTCTCAAAATGTGCAGAGTCATCGCGTCATTGGTAGCTCAAACTGCTTTTTTTGGAGTAATATTTGATCCGCAATTTATCCTTTTAAAGTACTGTATGCACTTATTCCCCAATTCAGTTTTTTCATAAAATATTAATATGAGTATGAGAAACAAATCCCTCGTAAAGATAGGGAATAGACATTCATTTTGTATAAATATTTTGGAGGCCGATTCCTTAAGAAGAGGTATAAAGATAAATGGATTTGCCGTAAGCTCCTGAGTTCCGTCTAAAATAAGTGTGAAGCTGAGCTCCTTCAAATGTTTTTATCTATGAAGAGGTGGGCTTAAATTTTTCCGATTAAGTACTAATTCGTTGTTACATAACTGGCGTTTAAAATAACGGAATAAACTTCCTCCAGTGGTTTTTTTTTGGCCCTTCATAAAATAATATAAATCAATCTTGACGAAAATTTGTCTCTGTTCGGGATAGAATATTCTTACGAGGTTTTCGAAAACTCAGCATGATTCGAAAGGAGTTCATCTGCAGTTTAATTATTGATAATCTTGTCAGCTAATAAACGGTCCATTATTTTCGATTTGCGCTATATATGCCAGGACCCTCTATACCCTCTGCTCGTGACCTTATGTTCGTTCTGACCTTCTGTGATGTATAAACCTAAAAACCGCGTATATGTACATTTGGTGTATTGAATACCGCGTTTCTACCTTTAAATTGCGTAGCCAGATACTCAGAGCTTGTGTTAAAATGAGTTCGTTGAAAAACTTCTTCTATACAATCTCAAAGTGTGTACTCAAGAGTGAGCTAAGTGAAATCCTGAAATAAGGTTTCTGAGGCTTATCCCCAAGAGAGGAAGCGAGCATAAACTTCAAATTTTAATGTACATTTTTTAACATGCAGGATTCTGCCTAATCATTCATACCAGTGTACCAAGTTTGGATATTTTTTTTTCGGTAATTTTTTCCGGGCTATAACAAAAGCCGCAAAAAAATCTGTAAGAACAATCACTTCATTAGAAACACAGGTTACTCCAAGAAAAATAAGCCACAGAGCTGTCAAAGGACTCGGTACTCTTTAAATTCAAATATAGTGAGCTCTGGTGAAAATTTATAATAACACAAAACAATGAATAAAGAAATCCATGAGCAGCTTTAGAGCAGGTACCAAAAAATGTCCTGCTTTTGTATTAATTTTGCTGATTCTAAACTTACCTAAGGGTCGGAGATTTCAGCAAGTCAGTCTCAGTATTGCACTCCATGCTAGAAATCAAAGGGGGTAGGTTAACCCTGAAACACCGCTGAATCGGATCACAACACAAGGCGTGGATTGCGTGCTGAAAGTTAAAATCGACTCAGGTGAAAATTTTAGCCGTCCGCAATCCACTGAACTACGATTACAATGAATTATCTCTCCCCGAGTCGAGTCGAGCACTTGCAGGCGGGAAATCCTCTTCCAAAACTTTCTCAAGTCTATCATCAGTGTATGTAATTCGATGTTGCCCAAGAGAAGTGACTTCATCCGAAATTCAACAATATATCTTTAGAGGGATAAAGTTTCGAAAACATGCATGAACCTGTATTAAGAGATGACAAACGCAAAACATACAAGTATTCACTGCTTCTGGCAACAATATATCATATCGGAAGCAACGTTCAAAACATTTTCCACTCAAATGTAACGTGTACGAGGGCTTTTAATCCGAGCCTACTTAAAATATGAACAAGATTCTTTTATTGTGTTATTTTCCTGAGAGGGAGCGGTATTATGTAAATGGCTGTGCGGTGAAGCATGAGGAACTTTGAATTCCACCATTTTCACAGTACTTCATGAACACGCAATCTATTGGCTGAAACTTCAAGCTCTGGATTTGTTTCATCGATGTTCATTTTCGATGTTTTGTGTTGACTGTGCTATCAATTTTTTCATACCAACGTTATTTATCTCATTTTGAAAAGGTGCATCCGAGTACCAAGTTTTCTATTTTCAATTTTATTATACTCGTACTTTCTTCAACTGAGGGAGGCTGTGATTTTTCCAGCCGAAACTTCTTGGTTTCATTTGTTTTTTCTAGCTTTGTTACACTCGATGTATACTTGTTTATCATATGTCTCATCACGGACTGCTGAGTATCCTAGGTATCTCATGACGATCGCACATTACTAGAAAAGTCATTAAGAAGCTCAGCTCAAACGCATGAAAAAACGAACGATGAAGTCATTTGGCTGAAAAATCGCCTTGATGGAAATGATACATTTTAGGTATTTTTTTTTTTTTTAAAAAATAAAATAAAATATAAAAATAAAAAAAATGAGTAAATACAAATTCCTCACGCCTTCCCTTCCCATCTCTCCGGAAGGGTAAGAGCCAGCAGAGTTTTTCCGTTTGCATTATATTTCAAACTTAAAATTTCATCTCCGAACTTATCGTTTGAGTCATTATCAGCCGTGTGTTTTATATTAGCCCGTTTTTACACAACTTTACGACATTTCATGAACTTTTCATGGAACTTTGCAAAGTTGCAGTCAAGCCTCCTTGGTTCTCATCACATCAATTGGACAAAATGTGGTGATGGCGAAAATAGGTGGACGCCAAAGACTTCCAGGTCTCCCCTGAAACATTGTTACTTTTCCTTGATTTCCTTCATAGTTATAGTGACACTCCGTAGATGCTTTTGAAATAGGGAACAGGGCATCGCGTACTGGAAATTATAACATTTACCCGAGCTTTTATTAAATTGGTAAACTTGGGTGGATCGTAGACTTGAAAGGAGGCTCCTGCGCCTATGCCAATAAAGTTTTTCTCTAAGATTTTAATTATGATTTCAAACAGTAAGGGGAGAACGTTCTCAGGACCTTGTGAAGGGGCGAAAGGACCATTATTCCACTTTCGTTGACCGGATGGAGGGTTGCGGGCTCCAAAGTCGCTGCGGGGGTGACAATTAATAAAGCAACTCCTCTAATGTCGCTTTGAGTTCGCTGTTTGCTGCTGAATTCGTTTAGGACCGAAAATCAGCGCAATTGTCGCTGAGTCAATAGACCGAGGAAGGAGGAATATTCATTAGTGTGCAGAGGAGCTGATTTTGGCTCCAGCGCGAAGTCAAATTCAACTCTCATTAAGCGAGGCTCACGGAGCTTGGTGTACGAGAGGCGCCGAAAACAACCCTTTCTCACCCCTCGCTCTTTGAACTCACGTCTCTAGTAGTCCTCATTCACTGGAGCAACAGTTTGCCAGTGACTCATGAAGCCCAAGCTGCGCGGCGTTCCACGCTGCGCTGCTGCGAAGACGACAAAAGTTGAGGCGCCTCAATTTCAGTTGTAGGCGATATAGGCATCCGATGCGCACGAATAGTTGCATTTATTAAGTGTCCACTGTTCAATTAAGAATCGAACGACTTTAACTTAATTTGTCATTGAGAATTTTACTTTCGACAGTATTTTCGACAAATTACTTTTGTTAGATTTTGCGAAGGTCACGACGCCGCTCCTGATGCGCTGTGGTTATACTTATTTATTTTTTTAAAAAAAATTAGCACAAAGGAAATTTAACCAATTTGATCGAATTAGCTTGACTTTAGTACACTCCGATTTTCAGGAGTGTAAAACTGGAATCGTAACTTATATATTTTCTGTTTTCGTTTATTTTCTAAAAGAGCGCAAAGTTCCAATTTCTTCATGATTAACAGAGGCAACTGCACCACCTACTTCAGTATCAGCACTTGTTCACTCTTCAACTTTAGTTACAGCACGAATTTATTTAATAATTATCGATGGACGCGGAATGCGTTTATTTTTTACCTTTGAGCCGGATCCAAATATCCCTAATGTGACCTCCGATTTCTACACATTTCGTCATTTTCCGGACGAGGGAACGCAATTCCATTCCAAGGTTACCAAATAGACTCAGAGAATTCGATTGTTTACCAAAATGTACATCTGCAATTGTAGTCCAAAATGTGTCTGATTTTTGCATGATAGTCCAGGCGCCTGGTAGCTAAAAATGAGGCTACCTGGAATTTTGGGTACACAGCGATTTTTTTGGCTTACTTTATGTTTTTTGGGTCGCTGAATCCGAATCTGAAGTTTCCGCAGGCGTATCTGGTGAGCATTTTCCGCTATTTTGAAAAAATGGCCTAAAAAGGCCTTTTTTTGCGGTTTTTTTGATATAGCGGCTACGGATGAGGAAAAGTCCCGGATTTAACTAATGTTTTGAATAGCTGACAAAATTTGGAAGAAAATGGTATATAAATATGCTAGGTTTGCTCAAAAATTGAGGAACCTCGGATTTCGGAACTTTAGAACGCTTCGGAACTTGGCTGACCGCGGCGAGCCGGATCGCGCGTTGACGGGTGCGCCGCGAAAACGTGAATAGGCGCGATGTTCACGATGCTGTATCTTCCTCAATTTTTAAGCAAACCTAACATATGTATATACCATTTTCTTCCAAATTATGTCAGCTATTCAAAACATTAGCTAAATCCGGGACTTTTGCTCATCCGTAGCCGCTATATCAAAAAAACCGCAAAAAAAGGCCTTTTTAGGCCATTTTTTCAAAATAGCAGAAAATGCTCACCAGATACGCCTGCGGAAACTTCAGATTCGGATTCAGCGACCCAAAAAACATAAAGTAGGCCAAAAAAATCGCTGTGTACCCAAAATTCCAGGTAGACTTACCAGGCGCCTGGACTATGAGACCAAATGAAAAAAACGGTGAAATTGTCGGTTATACATGCCCAAGATTATCGCAGTAAAAATGCAATTTGCGGGGGGAAATTTTGGCAACATTGAAATGTAGTTACGGTTTTTCGTGCGGTAAACGACGATTTGACAGGGAAACTCAAAGTCTGTTCCAGATAACCTTTGAGCGGGTCTAATGGCTCTTTTCCCGTCCGGAAAAGTTTGTGTCGGGAACGAGAAATGGGTTTCGTAATATCATTTGCAACGTTTAGCCGTAGAAATTGATTAAAAAGTCCGAGCACAAATTGTTGACATCAAAGCGAATCGCGTGCGTGATCTTGTGTGCTCTTCGAACCGAAAAACAAATATTAAAGGGAAATAATAAAGGAGCAATTTGAATATTTTAGATAGCGTGCTCAGCGGGCGGGCGGTGACGAAGTCCAACAGGTAGTTAGACTTCAGAGTAAGTTGTAATTCAGCTTTGCGCGCTTGTGCGCCATGCAATGAAAAGCGTTCCGATAGAACCTCGAACCGATCAACTGCGGATGAATGAAACATCAATCCGATGCAACGTTGCAATGTTTCAACGGTTTCCTTTCTCTTGTATTTGCAAAGAGTCGAAACTTCTCACTTTTAAATTCGTATCGTTAGAACTGACTAATGAAAGTTTAGAGGGCAGTTCCTCTTAAGCCCGTTAAAAATTCGTCAATTTCCATAGGCGGAAAACTGTCACTGCATTTTAAAGTCTCAGAATTTCAATTTCCTCTCTATGTTTTCATCAGGAGACTAGTGCACTCCTAACGGAAAATTTCACCGACGAAAAAATCGGGAAATATTTCGTGGTCATATTCTCGTAAAAATGAATTTTTTAGCCAATTTTGCCACCTTGGAATGGAGATATGGTTCTTCGCATGGGGAACGATGAATGGTAATCAGTTTATGGAGGTTTTGAGATACGGTTTAATTGAGATATTGAAATTTCGAATGTCACGAAACTTATTCTTTTAAAAAAATAATATAATGAAATCCACTTTCTTAAAAGTGCTTACGTCAATTCCTCTTCGTAAAGTTGAATTATAAACCTCGATATTATATCTTTAATTAGTACTGAATAGCTCAAGATGTAGGCCCTAGTCCGTGACTTCCCGCCCAACACGGAAATATTTTAAAAATATTGCTGAAATATTGTCAAAAACATTTTAACAATATTTTAACAATATCGAAAGAATATTGCTGCAATAGTTTGTTGTCCGCCCCCCTGACAATATTGCAGCAATATTGTCAAGGTAATATTGATAATATATTTTAAAAATATTTACTTGCGATGAGGTTATCATATTCCATATCCGTATGCGCGCACTTTAGGAGACGTCTTTGGTACTAATTTTCTTTCTAATGTACACATGCGTCCAGGTTGTGGATCGTAGGGTTGTTACTGACCTTAAAATTCCGCGCCGTCCTAGTCGGGATTAGAACCCACGCCTCGGGGTGGAGTTAATATCCGAATTCCAGTACTGTACCACCAGACCAGCCAGGCTTGATGTAGATGGGCCCGTAAATTCAATCTCTTAACTATCGCAGGCCTCTGAGTCCGTAATATGTTTGTTTATTGACGGATTCTTATAATATTTTACCAGAATTTATTATTTATTATTTATTTATTATTTTTTATTTCATCCTGTAATTTGTGTTTCAAATTCTTTATTAATTGTACTCAACATATTCCTATTCATGTATTACAAATTTTCGTTTTTTTTAACTCTCTCTCATTTTTTTCTTTACCAAATTACTGTTTTTTATAATTGCGTCTTTTTCCAGTTTTAATTATTTGAGCTTTTTCCTAGTTTGAATTTATGTCGATGTATTTATGTTATGTTATTTATTTTTTTCCCTTCTTTTTGTCTTTTCTTCCCCCCCCCCTTTCTTTTTTCTAGCGATTGATTTTAGTAAGTTCCGCAAAATAATTGGTAAACAGAGCAAAACCATACGCTAATTTGGCAAACATTTTGAAAATCTAGCAAAAATTTTAGCCATAAGAGCATAAACTAGTAATGTTAATTTCGCAAAAGTATAGTGCCATTTTCGCACAATAAAATTACCACTTTTGCAAATTGTTTTGTCGTTCTCGCCACGAGGGTGGGCATTTTAGCAAAAAAAGCAAATTGCAGAAATCGAAAACCATTTTTTGCCATTTTAGCAATTAACTTTTAAATATTACAAAAATATTCATAAAATATTTTTAACATAATATTAAACAAATATTTTTAAACTAATATTTCTAAAATAATTTTAAAATATTTTGTAAATATATTTTACAAACTGTTTTAAAAGTAATTACATAAATATATTTTGTAAATATATTTAAAACATTTTTATAAATATATTGTTACAATATTGTCATGAAATATTTTAGCAATATTGTCAACATATTTCTGCAGTGTATTTAAGGAAATATTTACATGACAATATTGTTTCAATATTGACAATATTGTTTCAATATTGACAATATTGCTGCAATATTTCGTGTTGGGCGGGTTGTAACCGCGAACGGTGCTGGCGTGGCGTGGTGACTAAACGGACAAGGAAAATCAAAGCGCCTTCAATTTTTTTGTATGCAACACGCACATACATTGAGTACGAATAGTTGTATCAAGGCGCCTTAACCGACGCGATGTCGACTGACGGTTTTAACTCATGAGATTGCTTGTATTTTTAAATCTAGTTTTTAGGTAAGAGTGGAAGCTTAGTGAACGGAGTTTCTAAGGGGCTTTAATTATTTGTAGAGGCAGTCGTTCGACAAGTAACCTTCGCCTCTATTGAAAAATCATCAAAGTGAACTAAGAGATTTCTCCATAATACCGTGGTAATTTCCGGACAAAGTAGTTGAACAACATGAATTTCTGATTGATTTTCTAAAAACTATTTAATTCAAGGTATATCCTATCGTAGAGCCGAAAATATTCCCACTTCATACCAATGTGAGGAGAGAAAAATTATTAATACCTCGCGCATGGCTGGAAATCTACAATATTCATCAGTAAAGTTTAAACGGTCAAAAAATATCTGTGACATGTGTAATTTATCAACTGTAAAATTTCCTCAAAACAAAAAAAAAGTCTCTTAAAACGCGGGGAAAAAAGGGCTCATGGTTATCATTGTACGAAGGGAAGGAATAATAGCTTGCACTGACAGGTGCATTTTCAAGGTTACGAGGGTGGCGATGCGTGAAATAACGAGAGACAGCCACGTAAATTGTCCGGGAATAAATGCATATATTTAGACGGGCGCTAAGAATATCCTCATTGTGTAGTCAGTTCAGCCATATGGCTCAGATATGCACTTTCAACTCCCCTCCAACTTTTCAGCGTTGAACCCTTATTTGGTTTTACGTTGCACCGGATGTCTGATGATGCAAATTTTTTCTTTCTCAAAGGTAACTCTTGATTTCTTTTCTTGTGTTGGCAGTCAGGAAGCTTTGATGATCGAAAGCGAACCAGGAAGCAGTCGATCGCCCAGCCGCGATAAATTTTGGGTTCCGCATAATCTTCAGCGCCAGGCCAGCGTAGAAAATTTCGACGAATCTAGCGATGGTGAGTTAATATCACTTGAGTCTTGTAAATAGTAGATATCAGCTGAGATTAGAATATTGCTCCTGCTTTCAGAGAATGTGCTTGAGACATATTTTTTTTTTCCAAAGTCTGGTAAAGATGCTCATAATTTTAAGATTTTATCATCATATTGTTATCATGATGGTCAGTGAGATACACGATTAGAATAATAAATTGCCCTTTCAACATAAGGACGTAACTGCACTTCGGAATGAACCCCGCGGTCTATATCCTCACTGTTTTCCTGGGCTCATATCTGAGTGTAATTGCACCCTTTTTTCAGCCAAGCAACGATATGATAGCAGCATTGCAGAATTTGATGTCAATGTCAAGTAGAGTGCTGTACTATACTGCCGTGCTAAGGAAGAACGCCGTATGTAGGTACATTCGAGAGTTGCCAAATTTCCTTCGATAAAATGTTTATTTTTGAGAAAAATTATGAATATTTTTCCTTGAAATTTTCAGACTTTTTAGATCCAATTACGAACAAAATTAACTGAGAAATTGGTACACAAACAATCAAAACTTTTCCTGAAAGTTTGTGATTTACCAGGGGAAATTTGGCAACGCCTGAAGGCTCATACGGCGTTTTTCTTTAGCGCGGCAGTATAATAGGGCTCCTTATTGATGCTTCCTATATTTGCTTTACGTCGGTGATAAAAAATCTTGATGGTCCTTGTGGGCGGCCGCGTCTGCGCTTCGAGCATGAGAAGAGACAAAGCGCCCTTATTTTTCTGATATTTTAGTTAGTTTTTTTTCTTAGCACGGCAGTATTGTAATGTCAATTTTTTGCTAAGGTGTTCTTTTCCGGGAAAAAACCTAGTTCCCATCTGACAAGCTCAATCCACTTCTTACACAGGGTGATCCAAAAGTCCCACGCCACTCAATCGGCATTACTCCTGTATAACCTCGAAACGGATCGAGATAGAAATTTGAAATTTTGTGCGTACTCCTAAGTCAAAGGATACATACTTCTGGGGACCTCCACCCCCCCAAAAAAAAATTTAAGGGAATCACCTTGCAAAGGGGCAAACACCTTAAGGCGTGGTGAATGTGCAAAATTTTATGCGAGGCAGGCTGCCTCACCAAGAATCGATAGTTTATGCACATCTAAATGGAGGGAAAATTGTGTTGCCAACTTTCAAAATCGCCACTGCACTTACAACCTTTGCGATTTTTACCCCCTTTTTTAGGTGATTCCCTTAAAATGTTGGCGGGTCCCAATAGTATGTTTCGTTTGACCTAGGCGCACGCACCAAGAATCGATAGTTGTCAGCCCGTGTCCCACGATCAAATGGACGTATTTATGCTAAAAGGGTCTACGTGCATAGGGTTTACGTGCAACATAGTTCTTTTAGCATAAATACGTCCAAATAAACTCATCAAATGCAAGATAGCGGAGATGCGTACTGGACTGGTTTTCGAGCAAGTCCGCACGGGCTCGATTCATCAATTTGACCAATGATTGGGCCAACTTTTGTTTGCGCGGAAACCAGGACGCATCTACGCCATCTTGCATTTGATGAGTTCATTTGATCGCGCATTGCTGCCATTTTATTTTATCAAAAGATGCCGAAATAATTCCGATTTCCAGATACATGTTCCAATTTGTCAAAGTTCCGAGAAAAATTCCAATTTTTTCCAAAATTCCGGGAGAAAATTCCGAAATACGCCCGGATTTAGTTCCCAAGATTGTCAAATTTGATAAAAAAAAGTCCCTAAATTTGATCCATTATAGGTTCAAACTGGCGAAAAACCGCAAATTTTGAGGAAATTCCGAGAATACCTGAAAATTCCGGGGACTCAGAATATTCTGGAAAAAGTTTCGATTATTTGAAAAGTTCCGAATTTTTGAATTAATTCTGGGAAATGGCAGCACTGTGATCGCGGGACACGAACTTTACGTACATATTCAAGTGGAGGAAAAACAGTGTTGCCAACTTTCAATGATCGCCACTGCGTAGGGGTGGCACGGGGCTTTCAGATCACCCTGTATATCCCTGAACGAAGCCTTTCTTTTCGTTTAACGCTGTGCAAACACCGATTGGTTGCAGATAACTCGATTCACGGCTCGGTCGTCTCGAGCAGGGCGACTCCTCCCCCGTCGACGTCCTCGCCGTACCCGACGACGTCGTCCGCGGCGGGGCCGGGGGCGGCGGGGGTGGCGTCCACGTCCACGTCCAGCGGGGCCGGGGTCGGGGCGGGGCCCTCCCTCTCCCCCTCGCTCCTGGCGACCTCCCCGCAGCCGCAGAGCGACCACCAGCCCTGCATCGGCACCGACCGCCACATCATCCTCACCCCCGCACCCCCGAGACCCAAGGTCTCCTCCATGCACACCAAACTCGATTACCGAAAAATCGACACTTCCCTCTACCAGAAGGTGAGTTCCTTTTCTTTCGCCACGAGTTGCTTTGTCGCACAGTGGATACAGTCACTTTGAGAGGTCAAACGTGAAATTTTTGGCTAAAACTGCAAAGCATTGGGAACTGGCCACCCCAAGATATGATCTCACTTTTTAATTTACCTTTTTTATTGTTTTGTAATTTTTGAATTTCTGTGCTTTGCACATCTCGGGTTTATTACCCACCTCCGGACTTAGGTCCTTTCATTATTAGTATGTAAATAAGATACTACTCTGTTGTATTTTGTAAATTTAATTTAATAATCTTAAAGGAATTGTATACAATGCTGTTTAAGTAATTTACATTGAATAAATATTAAAAAAAAGAACTGCGAAAAGGGCACTTCTCGATTGTAGTGTTTCAGAATATCTGTTGCTAATTACCTAATCCCTTGCAGAAGAATTTAATGGGTGGTTTTGCCAGAATTCTTTCCATAGAAAATTGTAGAATCATAAGGTATGTTCAGTAGAATTTTTAGTGAAATGGATGCAATCACTTTCCTTACAAAGAATGAAATATTAGAGGAGACTCTGAAACACTGTAACCGAGAAGTGCCCTTTCCGCATTCAGTGCCTCAATTTTTATATTTATTTCGTAACATTTTAAACTTTAAAGGGAGCCTTCAGATGAAATTTTCACTAGAAAGCCAATGGAACCACTTACAGCACCTCAATTTTTTGTATAAACGGAGTTATAAGCGTTTGAAGTTTCCAAATTTTGTCCGACCTCTTCTATTGACGCGATCCACCGTGCGTCGGGTGTCGTTAACGTGGCACGTGCATGCTCCTATGTGCTAAAGGAAAACATATTATCAACATTCCACACGGAAAAAAGAGGTAGAGAGTAAGTCCTAGTTCGAAAATTTCCAATTGACTGCATGTGGTAGTACCCCCAATAAATCAGGTTGCTAACCCAAATGTTGTGGTATGCTACCGTAATCTGAGTTGCGGTCAGTGGCGTGGCAGGCTTTGCGATACATCGATTGATCTGCCATTTAAACCTATGGAAAAAGATCGATAAACAGGGTGTTCGCAACGGACACCTTAATAATCGATTCTATACCATAGCTTCAAATGAGGAATTATCGATGATCGATTATTCACGCTTGGCCACTGGTTTCAATAATACTAAAATTAGTTGGAAATGTCCATATCATCCAACAATTTCGGGAAGTATTACAATTTTAGGAGATAACCCCTAACACTCCAATTTTTCAGTTGCCAAATTTCCTCCGACAAAATAGGGATTTTTAATCGAGAGTCATGAATATTTTCTTTTGAAATTTTAAGACATTGTAGATGTGATTTCTTTTTACATTGTATAATGTAGAAAAAGCAATTTCATTTGCAAAGCATTTTGTTGAATTCTCGTTCGTTTCACGAAGTGCCCAACTTCGAGGTTTCGGAAACGTTCATATCTTAGTATTAAGTATCGGAAAGTATCATGTGTTTGGCTTTAAGGCTGTTTCAGGAACTGAATAACGTGCGCCTGGAAATACATTCCATTTGTCAAAATGTTAGAGTTGAATGCGGAATGGTTTAATTATTCTGGAATTTTTTTTCAGAGCTCGGCATTTTCCGAAACCAGTTATTAATTTATAAAAAGCTCATTCGTCTTAGAGATTCTCGTTTGTTCCACAAAGTTCCCAACTCTGAGGTTTTCGAAACGTCAATCTTTTAGAATAAATGTGTCAAATAATTCCATATTTATGACTTGGGTTTTTTTTTTTTAAGGAACTGAATGACATGCGCTAAAGAACACTGTCCATCCGTCACATTTTTTCAGCTGCATGTGGTTTTTTTTTCTCATTTTTCTGGAATTTGTTTTTCAGAGCCAAGCATTATCGAAACCATTCATTTATTTACGGGCCGTTCACCCGTCTCAGGGACGTAAACCTAAACATACGAGTTGAGAAGTCCGATCGAAGTCTCAAACCCAGAGACGGAGCAATGAATGACAGCACATTATGGCATTCCAAATGCCGTCTACGCTCCCACTTCAGATTGCCCCTGTCGAAGCCACCCCCACTGCCGTGCTAAGGAAGAACGCCGTATGAACAATCGAGAGTTGCCAAATTTCCCCGGATAAAACATGTATTTTTGACAAAATTTATTCTTATTTTTCTTTGAAATTTTCAGATTAGATTAAATTGCGAACAAAATAGTCTGAAAAATTGGAAGACTAATATTGAAAATTTCCCCGATTAATTCGGATTTTATCAGAGGAAATTTGGCAACGCCTGAAGGTTCATACGGCGTTTTTCTTTAGCATGGCAGCCCACCTCCCCCTCTGCCGCCTCACCGAGTGCGCCAGCTGGGATCGAATATTGTTTTGGAATGAAGTTAATTAAACTTTCCCGGTCACTTATCGCTTTCATTCTTCCCGTTCCATCGGGGCTTGATCGGGCGTGAGAATTCGAGTCTGGAAAGAATGAATTCGTAGACGGGCGACCCACTATCCGTCGCTCCTCTGACGTAAGGGCGTATCTCGAGTTCCACGTGAGCCCTAATTCACATAAAAACCCATGCTTTCCGTGACTCATACGAAAATCGAGATGGGCCCTTACGTCAGAGGAGCGGCGTATTGTGAGAACTCACTTCAGTGGCGTGGTGATATGTCGATTGATCTGCCATTTAAACTTATGGAAAAGGATCGATAAAGGGTGTTCGCAACGAACACCGTAATAATCGATTCTTTACCATAGCACAAAATGGGTAAAAATCGATATTCGATCATTCGCGCTGCGCCACTGACTCGCTTGTGTGCAATGCTCTCGGTTGATTGTTAATCAATACCTATTGACAGGATTGCCAGAATATACGCTATGAATTTTCAGTTCGCATTGTTTAAATCAGGCATTTCGTCTAGTGTCTAGGCAAATTAGTTCAATTTTTAAGAAATACTAATCAAGTTTTGTTGGTTTTTAACGAGAAAGTTTTAGTACTTTAGCACTTGTAGAGAGGAAATATTGATTAAAATATCAATTTTCTGAAATTTGACAATAGAGGGTTTTTATCACCATTTTTTCTCGTCGCATTTTTAATTAATCTGCATCGTACGGAGCATCAAGCAATTATGAGATGAATTTTTATTTAGTGCTAAAAACTCAAGAAACAATCATAAATTGACCAAGCCTGTAACAAAAAGTTTTTATCTACATGTTAATACAATTTTTCGTTAAAAACCAGGAAAAACTCGGAATTTCAATCCAACGTAAAATCATTGATTATTACCTCGGGCATTTGACAAGAATTAGATTTGTCCATGAATCAGCGTCAGATCCAGGTCGAAGCGAATGTAACCTCCAAATACGACTGAAATGACTCCCGAAGTTTTTTTCTACCAAATTTTCCAGGGAACTCTGAGAAAAAATTACCACGCACAGTTTAAATTCAGAGTCTTGCGTTTCACGGCGAGAGAGAAAGATAATCGCCTTCAAGTGGGACGACGCAACCGAGGACAACAGACATGTTGAATAAGATGCTCGAAGGAGCTGCTTGAGGAAGTTCAAGAAGCAGCGTTGCCAATCGGTTCATAGTATAGACTCTGATGAAGACATACAATTGGGGAGGGTGGAAGTGAAAAACCCCGATTTTCAGCGTTTCGCATTTTATGAAAAGCCCCAACAGGGATTTGCGGAGCCATGAAGCAATTAACCAACAGAGGCGGGTCGCGGTGCATTCGTGAACATCACTTGCAATTATCTCGCGGTCATGGAGGCTGATCCCCTGCCAGCTGAGATACAAAATATGTCATTCTAGGCTTGTATATCATCACCAGTGAATTAATGAGCTTACTAACCTGCGAGGTTGCCATATGTACTCAATTGTATAGATCAATTTTCACATTTTTCAGCGACGGCGTCATAAACAAAACTTATACGCAGAGTTTTTCATTTGATATACTATTGTACTTGTGAGTTTTTTTTTTTTTTTTTTTTTTTTTTTTTTTTTTTTTTAATCTCTGAACATTAACAGTGTACTATCTTGCGCATTTTAAACGGTAGAAGGTTAAAAAATTGGACGACTTATAACATTTTCAACAAGTTTTCATGAAACGAACGTGGCAACCCTGCGCATGATTTCAGCCCTGTCTATGCAAAATGATTTTGGCTAATTGCAGTTGTGGACGCTTATCCATAATTTAACCATAATTTACCAATTTCCGATCGTTAGGATCTCACATTTGAGGACTATTCACGAACACGAACAGGAACGTTTAATTTGCACCATAAAACCAGTCGCACTAATGAACTAAACTAATTAGAAAAGTACCAAGTCACATCAAGAAAGAAACGAGTCACAAGAGGTCTTGAGTTAAGCTAGTCACACAATTTCTCCTGTCAAAAATTCAGCGTTGGAAAAAAAAGTTTCGAACGTTATCCCTAACATTAACTCTTCAGGAGAAATACAACTCGAAATCTCCCCCTTTAGATTCGATCTTAATGCGACTTAGTTCTACCATATTAGACTCGGTCCTACTGTGTTCTTCGCTAATGTTGACAAGATACGTTGCTCAAAGCATTCAAATAATTACAGCGGCGGGTAACAAAGGTAAAAAGACGAATGACACCGAGACATTTCAGCTGGAAACACCACAGCCCTCTTCAGATTGACAAAAAACAATCAAAATTTAATTATTTAAAAACTCAGTACTCAGTCGTACCTTTCCAAAACGAGATGAACGTTGATATGAAAATGATTCTTTTATAACACGGTCAAAACAAAACACAGCTTCAAGTTTTGGTTCCAAGATCAGGGCCGGATTTACCTACTTGCCGCCCATGGGCCGCCTGTATTTTGCCGCCCCCTTATTCTCATTCGTTTTGAAACATCAATAAAAACCGTCAAGTGAACGTGCAGCGGGGAGGAGTGAATAAGACGCGTTTACTCGCATTAGACACATTTTTTGCAAACCCTGTCAACATTACTAGCAAAAGTTCACGGAACTTTGCGCGAAAATTAAGTTCCGTAAACCT